CTGCATCTCTGTGCTGTTTTCCTCGCTCAGAACCGTGGGCTTCATTTTGGCCACTTCCTGAAGCTCACGGAGGGACTGGGAGAAACTACAGGGTCTGTCAGGTCTCAGTCACCTTGAGTGGCACAGACCTGCTTCCTGCCTGTTTGAAAATGCCCTCACCACATGCAGCTTGACCCTGACAATGGATAAGCACTGAGACCTCACCCGATTCCTCCCTGACTCCTCTCTGGGCCGTTTTCTGAGTCCCCCACTCTCCCCTCTCCATTTATACCTCCCGCTCTATGTTCATGGATGACCTCTTTGCAGATGTTTAGAAAATCTCCAGTATGAGATGAATATCTTACCTTTTCTTAAATTCTGAATTGCCAGAGACAAATCTCACGAATGTAGTCACTCCAGCACGTAATTCTTAGCAGGACGAAAATCCAGAGGGTTTTATTCAGGTTTCCTTTCTCTTCTACGCTTTGTCAAGAGCCTTTCTTTTGACCTTCGTGCTGCGCAAACTTTCATGTTCTGTGAGGTGCTCGCTCTTCAATGCTTTGAAACACTAATAATTTTTCAGTAAATTTCTTTTCATGTTTTCCATATTATTTTCAATCCCTTAAATTCCAAACTCGCGAGACCCTGGAAACCCAGACTAGGATGATCTTAGCCGTAGGTACATGATACTACAATCGGTTTACTCACAGTTGCTTAATAAAATCTCGGCCCTTCTAATGAGAGCTATTTCTTACTCAAGCTGCAAATCCACAGACGTTATGCCTTCCATTCTTGTAGTAATTCTTTTATGTGTGATCCTCCCTGACTAGGTTCACACCGTATTCTCTAGTTCTAATGCGTTTGTTTCAAAGCATGTGTGTGTTTTAAATCGACTACACTTCAATAAAAAAAAGCATATGTGTGTGTGTGTGCACATTCCATAGATTCTAAGAGTCAGGGAATTTATACGGAAAGTTAGTTTGCTTTCCCTCAGAATCTAGAACGTACTTTTCTTTTTATTGAAATATAGTCAGTTTCAATGTTGTGTCAATTTCTGGTGTTCGACATAATAGTTCAGTCACACGTACACGTACACGTACACGTATTTGTCTCCATGTTCTTTTTCATTGCGGGTTTCTACAAGATGTTGAATATAGTTCCCTGTGCTCCACAGCATAAATCTGTTGTTTATCCATTTTATGTATAGTAGTTAGTATCTGCAAATCTCGAACTCCCAGTTCATCCCTTCCCACCCACTAGAATGTACTTTTGAATAAATTCTCTCCACATGTGCTTTTTGAAACATTGACCGGAAAGGTTTCAATTTCTTAGCGAACAGGATTTAATATAAATAAGATTCAATTATGTGTACTGACCATAGTCAATGAGGCTGCGAAAAGTGAAAGAAAATAAACACACATGCTTCGATGTAATGTAGATCTCCCTGTAGACCATGTTTACAAATGGCTAGCTGGAGTGTTTTAAGAGTTTTTATGTCCTTAATGCTTTGGCTGTTGCATTGAATATTTGTATTTTGACTGTTTATGTCCTCAGAGAGAACGTTGCTCTGTTTCTCTCTTCAGCTGAGTTATAATAAGTTAGCTCTTGAGTGTGCCTATCAGGAAAAGTCAGATTTTTGTGACTATCACGATTAGATTAAATCCTCCTAGCCTAAATAGAGTTGTAGTTTTCCATTAACACATGATATTTTATCATGTTTATCCCATCCAGTAAGCTGTACAATCTATAAGGGTAAAAGGCATATCCGTGTTTGACAGTCAGTTACTTATGTTAGCGGAGCCCCGTACACGGTAGCCCCTTGATGAAGATTTTTAATTACATGGATCAATTCAAAATAGTTTTGAAGTTATTATTGTGTAGATATTAGTCTTGTAAGGAACAGATAGTGTATCCACATGATGCAGGCATATCTAACCTCTAAGTCAAAGAACACTTCCAGAAATCTGAGAAGAATTAAAACAAATGATTTTCCACTTAAGCTTTTCTAATGGTGCCCTTCTTGTGAGATTAATCTTAACCCCAGGGGACGTTAATAAAAGGACTGGCACATATATTTATATATATAGCCCTTGTTATAAAAGCCAAGACCTTTCCAATTGCAAATGATGGCAAAGTCTTGTTCAAATAATAGTATGGGGTCTATTGACTCACGAAACCAAGAAATACAGGGAGACGACTGACCATGGTAAAATCTGTGCGAGCAGGTCCAAACAGTGTGCAATGTGATAAAAAAAATTAATGTCTATCTAATATCTATCACCTGTCTATCTGTCTGTCTGTCTATCTATCTACCTATCACGTATTCTCGCTCCCACTCTCTGTCCCTAACCCCCCTCCAGCTTTCTCTCTCTTTTTCTCTTTCTTTCTCCCCTTCACTCCTCACCTCTCTTCTCCCCTCTCCTTCTTTCCTCCCTCTTGCTTTAGACATCACTTCTTAAGAACTGGCATTATTCTCAGATAAGGGCATTCAGAGCGATGTACAAATGGCCGCTGGCAATTTCCGTCTTTCCTCCTTTCACTTAGCAGTACAGGATCAATAAAGCGTCTCTTTCTAAATGGCAGTTGCAAAATCCTCTGACAAAATTCTCTTTAATCTATGATGTAGTGTCGCAGGGCAACTGCTGCTTCAGTCCCTGAAGTGACTGGGCTCAGCCTTGGGACATGGGGAGTGAGAGCAGCCCCGTGGGAACAATGATTCAGAAGCGGAGACAAGAGGTGCCAAAGTGGGTGCAAAGGAGGCAAAACTGTTGCAGCAACAGATAAAGTAAGGGTGGTGAGAGGTGGTTTCGTTTCTGGCTCTGAGTAGTCTCATTCCTGATTCTAAAGTGAGACATAACAGCAACTTGTGTTTTATACATTTAGTGGGAAAAAACACTCCACTGAATGACTCATTTTACTTTTGTCAGTCTTTTAGAATGTTTTTATTTTAAAATATCTTTGTTCCTTTCTCAGCAGCAGAACTAAAGATTCAGATATCCCTTTAACTTAATACCCTCTGAATCCAAATGCCAGGATTTGGAGGGCAGTTTTCTATTAAGCACATGATTGATGTATAGCTTTTATCTCTGCTTTTTTGTGTATGTTTGCCTGAAATGTTTCCTAATGTGTATATTCTATTGTTATGTAGAGTTGCTATCACCGTAAGAGGCTGCCTGGCGCTGGCATCCAAATGCCCTATTATTCTTCCTCTTCTTATAAAAATAGAGCATAACTTGGAACAGATTCTAATATATTTATAACTATTGCACTTTATTCGTCATTTATTTACTTTTATTAATTAATTTGTGCAAGTATTAAAACATCAAATATATTGTGAAAATAAGTCTCGGAGGAGGAGGGTACAAAGCAATACATACAATCATTTTCGTCTTTTTAGGAACACGTGACTGAGTTGAGGGACTCGTCACAAGAGCAGTGCCCACCAGCGGCGCTGCAGAGCCCAACCAGCGGGAGACACGCTGCTAGGGATTCAGGTCATTACAGAGGGTGCTCGTGGGATGCTCACGGAAGGAGAACTATCACAGACGGACTGCAGTTTAGAAGTTGTTGGGACGCAGGAGGGAAAGTTTCATAGTCTTGCATGTTTCTTATCAAAATGGAAACATTTCTTGCCCAGAAAAATTTATCTTGATGATAGTATGAAACAGTCATGTGGTCAACTTTATCTTTTCCTAGGTGATGTGACAATATTTTTTGTGGTTGTTCGTTTGTTTGTTTGTATTTGCAGGTCACTAAATGGGTCTAAAGTCCAGGGCTGGGGGACAAGAACACAGAAGGAGTTAAATAAACTACTCTCTGTCTTTTAGACCTAATGTAGATCTCTAACGAACATGATTTTTTTAAATTTATTGAACTCTATGAACTAAAATCAGTTTAGGTTATAACTGTTAGTAAAGATGGTGTTGATAATGAAAAGAATAATAGATTCCAGTTATTGAATTTTAATATGACAGGCATAATTTTTAGCCTCTTACTTATGTTAATTCACTTATTAAGTTATAACAAAACTGTTACCTTTACTTTAAAGCTATAAAAATTGATCATAATATTTTCACCAGATTAGTGATTTTTAAAATTGCATATTTTAACCAAATGCATTAGCTTACAATCCTTCATTGGTGCTTTTAATTTCATAATTTTCAAATGAAATAATGTGGCTTTGAATCAATTTCATTAAAAAGAAACAAACAATA